GAACAAGGCCATGCACAACGGCAACTCGGCCGTCACAAAGGTCGTCCGCAGCGTTGGAACCGGGCGTCAAGGTCTCACCTATGATGACTGGGAGGATCCCGATGACAGGATGTCAGAGGCATCTGACGACGACGACAGGAAGAGAAGCAGTTACGAGACCCCGCGAACCGAGTCTTTCCCCAGTAGCGCCCGCAAGGTCGACGACTCGCCTCATGCACCGTCCCCTCTCAAACCTCGCAGCGAGAAACTCTCACAGGAATTAGAGGAAGCCATAGCCGCCCAGGTCTCGATGCTCCAGCAATTCGGAACATCTCCTCCCAAGCCGGAGAAGATCGAAATGTCCCCGGTTGAGATGCCCCCAACTACCATCGCGGGGCTGCCGTCTCAGAGGAGGTACTCCCAGCAGGTACAGCTGGAGGAGATGCTCTCAAAGTACGAGTTTGAACCGCAGCCAGACCCGGTGGAGAGGTTCAACAGGCCGCCTTACATCAAGGCACCACCGATGTCATGGACACAGTCAAGCGAAGCTCTCTCAGGCCAGCCAATGCTCTCCCCTGGTCAAGGGCCCATCAGACGCAAACCAGCGCCATCATACGCCTTGAACCCCTCGCCCACACCTTCCAATCTGTCTGGAAGCCAGTTCCAACCACCCCCTGCGCAAACCTCTGATGCAAAGCCAGTTGTCGATCAGCGACCTGCATATCAGAATGCGTCGTCGTACCCTGGGGCCCCAATGTACCAGGCGGGTCTCGGCTTGCCATCGCAGTATCCTAAGAGAAGAATCTCGGAGGAGAACGACGATCTCGCGCCACCAATTGCTCCGTATACCGCCCCCTTCAACCCTTCATCATACCGCCCAAGCCCGGGGAACACACCACCTCAGAGCCAGGAGCCGTTCCCTGATTTGCCTCAACATATGCCAGGAGGATGGCAGAGTCCGCCCCAGCAGATGCAGCCGGCGATGCAGCAGTCTTCATTGAGCATTGAGAGTGTATCGCCACCAAATTCTCAGCATCAGCAAGAGTTTGACTCTAGGTAAGCTAAACCCCGAAGAAAATTCTCCGAGCATGTATGTTCATGTGCTGACTTAAGCAGTAAACCTGACTTAAAGTCACATCGCACCTCGTTCATGGGTATGAAGAATACGCTTGACAAGGCAAGGCAGTTTAGTACTGGCATAATGAACCGCAAGACATCCGGCTTTTAGAACGTAAATAGTTGATGAGAAGTGTATGAAGACATGGGCTCTGGGAGCATACTTGGCGTCGGGGAGCAGGAAACTAATAATTAATGATACCTTTTTTGTTGAGCAATGACGGCAGTCTTTTTATCTCTTGGAATTAGAGCGCACATGTGTGCATGTATTCGCTGCGACTGAGTCAACTTATCGTTCTATACACGGGTAATGTGCACGAATTGGAACATTTCTAGACATACAACAAATGTCAGCTTTACGCTTTGGCTTCATGTTCTGTGAACTTTGGAGACACCCGCAAAGTCTCAAAGCACACAGCAAGCTCGAGAATTGAATGTCGGATTGGTCCCTTGACGAGAAAAACTCTGCATGATGAACCAGTATATGGCCCAGACAATATTCTTGTGGTGTTGTTGGAGGAATAATTTAGGTAGGTTGGCGGTGGCTAGTGGTCTAATAACGGGACTCGATTGAAGTGTGGCTAGTGCGGTGGTGGGATGTGGCTGGAGCTCGATCCAAAAATTTCGGGGACAATTCTCAACACCATCTCCAGCGCGACAATCGACGGGAAAATCAGCAAATCCGCCCTCAGCCACCGAGGATCCCGCCCACAATGGCAACAGCAGGGCAAGCACTCCGAGTCTGCGTCCGCAGTTGTCGTCGTACACCGACAGCCCCAAAAATCGCACCGCGAGCCGCGACACAGTTCCCCCAGCAGCAGTTCCAGAGACGAACGTTTGCCGCCAGCCCCGCCAGACGTGCGCGCGGGGACGGAGACGAAGAAGGGGTCGACAGTTCGCTTTACAGAGTACAGGAAAGCGTCGAAGATGTGGTCAAGAAGTTGAAGCCCGCTGAGGTCGAGGCTCTGCAGCGGATGAGAAAGAGCGACCCATCGGCGCAGTCGTTGTCGCTTGAGGAATGGCTCGACAGGCAGTGGACGAAGGCCGACGAGGAGGCGGAGCGACAAGGGCCGCTCGTGACCAACCGTGAGTACAAGATGCTCGCTCCGAGAGTGAAGCCCAACAGGCAGTCATTCTGGTTCGACCCGGACGCCCCCATGGAGGACACTGAGAATATCGTCGACGAATTCGACGAGGACGACATGACGTCCATGGCCCATGGCAAGCTCGACGAGATTCGCGAGCACAGACATTACCACCGCATCATGGCTTGGGAGATGCCGCTGCTTGCCAGTACGTTACCCCCCTTCAATGCCATTTTTCTGGGCTCATGGTTTACTGACCACGACGACAGAGCTCGCCAAGCCGTTCGAGCCGCCCGCGAAGGATGAGGTGCTGCGATTCCGATACACCACATACATGGGCGAGCATCACCCCGCGGAGAAGAAGGTGGTCGTGGAGTTCTCGCCGGTCGATTTGGACCTCACGCCGGTGCAGGCCGACAAGCTGAGAAAGCTGGCCGGCCCGCGATGGAACCCGGAGAAGGACATCATCAAGATGAGCAGCGAGAAGTTTGAGCACCAGGCTCAGAACAAGCGTTATCTGTCCGACCTGGTGGACACGCTTGTTGCGACAGCCAAGGTGAGCACACAGGCAGGAAGAACTAGAGGAGCAGCAGGGCTAATAAACCATCATAGGACCCTAAGGACACTTTCGAGGATATTCCTCTGGATACCAGACATCACCAGTCCAAGGAGAAGCCCAGGTTCCCCGTGGAGTGGCGCATGACTGAAGAGCGTCGCAAAGAGCTTGCTGCGTTCCGCCAGCAGGGCGAAAAGGCCGATGCTGCCAAGGTCGAGGAGGGACTACTTGTTGACGGCATGGGCACAATCGAGAGGTTCCTCGAGCAGCCGGCGCAGGCCGAGGTCAAGGAGGCGGAGTTGGTGGCTGTTCGCCGTGGCGGCGCGAAGAATGCTCGTCGGTAGAGCACTACTTCCGCTGAATCGAGCCCAAGTCCCGTAAAAAAGAAAAAGATGACGTCTGAGGGATGCATAGCTCAAGGACCTCCAGACATGTGTATGACTAGGCAGCTGGCTTTCTTGACGTTCAGCATGCCCGTGTAACATCTCCATGTATACATCCGTCCCGAGTCGGATTTATAGAAACATAAAAGGGGACGCGCACGATGACCCCGTTGGATTTACTTAGTAGTCCCAGCGCACACGATGCTTTCCGAGAGCCTCGTGTACCTGGGGACTCACATTGCAACCCTTCCAACGATACAGAGTAGTCCGCAATAGCTGGTCTGGTGAAGTCAGGTCAAAGTGTGTGATTATTCACTTATGGGGTCAGCAATCCTGATTATCTTGAGCTTATCCTGACGACAATATCAAATGTCACTTGACCTTCTGCTCAATTGAATCTTGGACAATTCCCAATGCGCATGGCACTATCACATTTCCTGCCATGTGGATTCCGGGATCCCACAGGTCGGCCCATTCATTCTCGGCGGAGACTCGGACGGGGAATGAAGTCTAAGGAACGGATGCCAAAAAAGGGGACCTGGAAACAGGGCCAAGGACAGGGGTGTCTTGTTAGTCAGCCTGCGCGTTCATGCCAATGCCATTCCCGCTGTTCTGCCAAATTGATGCCTCGGCATCTTTTTTTTTTTCTTTTTTTTTTCTAGCGCAGCGCAGGTGCTCGCGAGTCGCTGCGAGATGCGAGATGCGCAGGGGGTGGCGTTCTTTGGTTCTATCCCCGACGAGAGCGCGTTGCAATGCTCCATGTGGGGAAGAAGCGACCAAGCAGCGGGATTGGCACCGGGACCTTGCTGAAGCTCCAAGCTGCTCTGCTGCTAAAGCAGAGCTCTGGCGCAGCATTCGAGACGGTCGATGAGGGCGATTCACCTGAAGCTCTGAGGCGTCTCTAAGCTCTGGGCTAATATGTTCTAGAGGCGTCAGTCAGCAATGACTAGAAGGCGTCATGACTTCGCAAACTGCTGTGTGCCATCAAGACAGCGGCCCATGGAAGGGTGGCCCAGTCCGTTCCCCGTGAAGGCGAGGCCACTCCGTCGGGACATCTATGCCTCCATTCCCTGTCCAAATCCGATTCAACTCGACTGGCTGGTTTGGGCAAGAGCAGGTATCCATGCTCACACCATCTTTTCCATTTCAGAGACTGGCATTCGTTCACATGCAACTAGCGTACCGCACCGTTACCGTAGCTCCTGCTTTTTGGGAAACGAACTCGTTTCCAACTTGCAGCGCATTCGCCGCCCCGTAGCGTCGCGTCTTGCTGTTGCGTGTGTTCTCTCCTGCATTCCCATCATTCGAAGTAGATTCAAGCCCTCTCACTCGCATTCGCAACATCGACTGGTTACAACAAACCGCCTTCTAGAAGGAGGAAATCAAAGTGAATGGTAATCCGGCCTCTGTTCATCCCGACCGTCTGCCCGTTTTCGCGCGCCGAGGTTGCTCGCCCCGGACCTGACTCCCTATCCGTACAATCAATACCTAAAATACCTTTCGTCCCAAAGTACCTCCTGGAGTCCCTAACCTCACTTTCTACCTCCCTCTATCACACCCGGCGACGCGGAGGCCGAGCACACATCAAGTGGAGCTTTGTCGCATGCGCACCCATCCGCTCACTTTAAGCTGTGCCTTACCGAACGGCCAGTCCGCTAGCTGCTGATACTGCTGCCATTTTGCTACTCCGAATACATAAGTCGCCGCAGCCCTCACAACCTTAACTGCAACCACCACCACCACCTCTCCGCGGACCCGAACCCCGGCATTCCTTCTTCCCCTCACGAACCTCCTCTTTTCCATCCCTAGGATCGGTTCTTCGCAGACGACACCAGGAGCAGAAAGCCTGACATTAGCCCAATCATCACGAAATCATCCACAATGGCGCTTTCAGCAGACGTCAAGATCGCCGACTTCACTCACACGTCCACGGACGACATTTACCGCCTCACCGACACCCTGCGCGCCACTTTCCGCTCTAACAAGACCAAGGACCTCAATTGGCGCAAGGTACAGCTCCGGAAGCTCTACTGGGCCATCAGGGACTTTACTCCCCAGCTTTGCGATGCCCTGCGCAAGGATCTGAGAAAGTGCAAGCATGAGGCTCTCCTCTCCGAGATCGAGTGGTGTGCCAATGACTGCCTCTACATGATCAAGAAGATGGACCAATTCGCCAAGGACGAGACTCCCGAAGATGTTCCTCTGACCTTCGCCGCTCTAAAGCCGCGCATCCGCAAGGAGCCCCTCGGCATGGTGCTTGTCATTGGTGCCTTCAACTTCCCCGTCCAGCTCACTCTTCTCCCCATCATCGGCGCCATTTCCGCTGGATGCACGGCCGTTCTGAAGCCCTCCGAGAGCTCCCCAGCTACTGCCATGGTTCTGGCCAAGATTTTCGAGGTCGCTCTTGACCCCAAGGCCTACCAGGTCGTCAATGGCGCCGTGAAGGAGACACAGGCGCTGCTTGATGTCAAGTGGGACAAGATCATGTACACTGGCAGCACCGCCGTCGGCAAGATCATCGCCAAGAAGGCTGCGGAGACGCTCACGCCCGTCACTCTTGAGCTCGGTGGCCTGAACCCCGCCTTTGTTACCAAGAACGCCAACGTCAAGCTGGCCGCTCGTCGTCTCATGTGGTCTAAGTGCCTGAATGCTGGCCAGGTCTGCATTTCCCAGAACTACATCCTCGCCGACCGTGCCATCGTCGACCAGCTTGTCCAGGGCCTCAACGCGACCCTGAAGGAGTTCTTCCCCAGCGGTGCCAAGAACAGTCCCGACTTCTCTCGCATTGTCAACAAGAAGTCTTTCCAGCGTATCAAGAAGATGCTTGACGAGACAAACGGCAAGATCGTCATGGGTGGTGGTCTGGATGAGGACCAGCTCTTCATCGAGCCCACTGCGGTCTTGGTCGACTCCATGCTCGACTCAGTCATGAAGGAGGAGTCTTTCGGCCCCGTCTTCGCCATCATGCCTTACGATACCCTGGATGATGCCATCAACATTGCGAACCAGGTCTACAGAACGCCTCTGGCGCTGTTCACGTTCGGAAGCGATCAGGAGAACGAGAGGAGTACGTCGCACATCTTTATTTACATGATCCAAACTAACATGTGTCGCAGTCCTCAACGAGGTCACTTCTGGCGGTGCCACCAAGAACGATGCTTTCTTCCACGCTTCAATCTCGACCGTCCCCTTTGGCGGCGTGGGCGATTCTGGCACAGGCAACTACCGCGGCAGGGCATCATTCGACATGTTCACCCATCGCCGATCTGTTGCTCAGACGCCGTCGTGGCTTGAGAAGTTCATCCGCGTGCGTTACATGCCGTACTCTCCCAAGGAGCTCGCTCGCCTGTCGAGCATGACTGCGGAGAAGCCCGACTTTGACCGCAATGGCGTTCAGGTCCGCGGTCTCGGCTACTGGCTGAGCTTCGTCGTTGGTCTCGGTGCGAAAGGTGCTAAAGGTGCGTTGTTGAGATGGCTGGTGGCCTTGGTAAGTATGTACACCCTAACCCTGCGAAGGAATCATTAGGACTGTGATCGGATAAGGAGAGACTGAACACACTTCACACCTCCACATATCTCTACACAATATCCATATTCTATCTACCACATCACAAACATCACTACACATGTCTTGTGCCATTTCCTTGTAAGTTTAGCCCCCTTGAACCCCTGAGAATGGGGGTTGGAAAGGTTCCACCATACACACTCGTTGGGAGGGACATCGCCTGTTGCCGATCGGAAAGAGGGGACCTCTAGGCTGGATGATGGGCCCCTGCTTCGGACAGGCTTGTACGCTACTGTGTCATATACCATTTCTATTTTGTCTACAGCTGGGTAAAGAGTTTGCCCTTTAACGGTCTTTTTCACACCAAGCCTCTGTGTTGCCGCCATGTGATGTTCATCTGCGAACCTCTTCGAACTTCCACCGCTATGGACTGCATCAGCCACTGCCACAAACTCTGCTCCAAGCACAACGGTCTCCATACATTAGTCGGTCTTTCTGATTCCTTTCCAACAAACACCCTTCTCAAGGGGCTGTGGCTTAATGGTAAAGCGCTCTCTCGTTAGGAGGTGGTCGGAAGAGTTCACACGTTCGATTCTGCTCATGCTGACTCGATTCTACTTTACATTGTGCCTTTACGATTAATCGTATCACGGAGGAATACCCGAGGAAAAAGATTGATTAAGAAGAAAAAACCAACAAAACATTAAGACGAACTTGGTGAGAGAGAAATTCAAAAGAAAAAAACCAACAAAATATTAAGACGAACTCGGCGAGAGAGAGATGGTGGTTCGAGCCCATCTGGCCCTAAACTTTTTACAGATTTCTTCCCTTTATCTTCTTGACCTTGTCCAGCCGTGCACGTTGGTATACATCGTCTCGCAAGTATTCTACCCTCTGTTTTGCAGTTCCAATGGGATGTTCATGACCAGGCCTTCGTCTCCTTTTCCCTCAACGCCAGTCGTAGCCTTGACGTCGTGGCCTCCCCTGGCCATAGGCCCGTTGCGAAGCTCGACAGGCACATTCATGACCAGCTCATCCCCTTCACCCTGGATCCCCGCCGTCCCTGCTGCGCTGACATCTCCATGGAAAGGGTCGGGGTCAAAGTACCCGGGCTTGCTGTCGGACCGCTGCCGTTTGCGTCGCCTGGACTCGGAGAGTGTCGAGTCGACGACGGAAGTGAACGTGTTCGATCTGGAGACGTCACGGGGTCGTGACTCGTGGGTATTTTGTCGCTCGATGGCCAGTCCCTTATCCTTTGCTGCATGCTGAGAACCGTTGTGGCTGTTCTTGCGCTGCCCACTTGGACTTGCATCCCCCAGGCCAAAGTCGAAACCCGAGAAAAGCTCCGCGTCCTTCTTCTTGCCCTTGTCTCCAGTATCTGGCGTCGCCTTCTTGGGTGATTCTGGTGAAGCGGGAGACGCCTCTGCACAGCGTTGCTTGACGCATGACTTGATAGTCTCAAGCTCGGTCGTCGACTTAGTCAACGGAATCTGCTTGTGGAAGCCATCCTCCACTGCCCATTTTTCGTCGCGTTCAGCTTTGTATATGGGAAAGTCTTTCTGTACGTGCGGGTCCTTGTCGACGTACCGCACCAGGATGAACTCGAGGCGGTCGCGAAGGCGGACGAAGTACCGGTAGACTGACATTCTTGGTTGAGCCATTTGAGAGTGTGGTGGTGGTTTGTTCTTGGGCATACTGAATATAAATCCGAACCAAAGTCGTATGGTGTGCTTTAATCGCGATTTCTTTTGGTCAAACGGGTAGAAGTCGGTGAATTTTCATGGGCAAGGACGTAGACTTCTATGCTGAGTTGTGAGATGGGCAAGCCGGTGCAGTGAATCACCCACTTTCAAAGCTCCATCTGGCGTCTTCATCGTCACGCAAGCCCCTGAATTTAGATCGGTAGAAACGCCGAGTCAACCCATCCTGCCGTACCACAAGCGGCATCGTCCACATGACTGATGCCTCCACGTAACCCCACGGAAGAACCTCGACTATTCACAAAGAAGAAAAAAAGGCTGTCGTTTCCATTCTATAAGATGAGTATGGTAGTACAGTTCCCGCCACAACTTCCGCCCCTCCCGTATTCTGCCGTGGAGGGGCCCTTTTCGGAAGGAGAGGTAAGTTTCTTACACTGAGAGAGGCCACCACCGCCCGCTCAGAGACCCCTGAGCTGCGTGTTGTCCCGCTCGTCAACCCGCTGATACCGTTCCGCCAACACCTCCTTGACCGTCTTGGTCAGCCCGCTCGGCTTCTCGTACCGTTGGTGCAGCGCCTGCTGCACAGGCGAACCCGCCGGCAGCACCTTCCCGTCCTCCTTGATGCTGACCTTGTCTTCGACGATGCCCGCCGCCTGCTGCACCTTCACGACAGCGGCGCCGGCCTCATTCCTGCCCTTCTCCACGACCTCGCCGACGACGGCCTTGACCTCGGCCGCCTTGGCATCCGCCGCCTTCCGCAGCTCGGCCGCCTTTGCGCGCGCGGCCTCGTCTGCGGCGAGCGTCTTTTCCCTCGCGCGCTCCCACGCGCTCTTGGCCTCCTTGCGCAGGCTCTCGCCCTGCTCGTCGGCGAGGATGGCGCCCTTCTGCGTCGCGCCCTCGACGACCTCCTTCGCGAGCGGCGCGGCCCTGTCGCCGGCCGCGGCGGTCTTGTCGATGGCGCCGCCCCAGAGCCGCGCGACGTTGCCCTCGAGGGTCTCGCGGACCTCGGCCCAGTCCGTCCGCTGCGCCCACCGGACGGCGTTCTCGACCTCCTTGTTCCAGCGGTACTTTGCCGACTCGACGAGGTTCTCGCGGTCCTTGACAGACTGCTCGGAGCGCGTCAGGGGAGGCGGCAGGCGGAGACTGGGCTCGAGGAGGGAGGAGAGGACGTGGTTCTGGGAGCGGAGGATGTGGGATTGGGTCTCGCGGTTGCGTTGGTGGGCGAGGACGGTTAGGTAGGCGACGCCTAGGGTGAGGGTCACACCGCCAGTCTGGTTTGCGGATGTTAGTTGAGTTTCGTGGCTTATGGGATTGAGTGCATCATGCGGGGGTTGAGAGACGTACGAAGCCAGTGGTGAAGCCCATGATTGCACTCGTCGATTTACTCTCCCGGTTCCGATTTCGATTGGGCGCAATTGAGTTTCGTCTTTTCTGAGAAAAAAGTGACGGGCCTCACGGTATCATGTTGCGGACGTCGAATGTGTCCGTCGTCGGAGGCCGAATTGGGTCTTTCTGCTGTCGAGAAAGCGGGACTGGGTCGTCGGGCCCTTTTTTGATATCGGCGGGAGCTTTTTGTCGAGGCGGCGGAATGACGTTAATTAATCGGACTGGCCCTTCGGCGAGCGAGCAACTTTCAGCCTCTCCGGGCTGGTGGACATAGGTCGGTCGCTGAGCGTGCAGGGGTACCAGCCTGTGAGTGAACAGCCACAGGCGCTGAGGGTCCCGCACTAGCAGCGGCCAGGCCAACCAGAGCGGGTGGCTGCCCACCTCACCCCTCAGGGAACCTCCCGGGTGAACGCCGCCAGAGGCCAAAAATTTGGGAACCAGAACGAAGGAGAAAAGGCTATCGCGACTTCCGACGACAGTTGCTTCGCTGCTGCACCTGCGCCGGCCCCCGTTTGACCACACAACGCAGAGGCCATTGAGGAGGCTCACTGAAGCGACATTCACCGACCTCGCCAATCGATTGAGACGCCGAAGCAGCCATGGCGGGAGGTCTCACCAAGTACAGGCACTTGAGCCGCAACTCGTCGGCGCGACAGGCCCTCCTCCGCGGCCTCGTCACCTCCCTCGTGACCCACGAGCACATCCAGACCACCTACGCCAAGGCGAAGGAGGCCCAGCGCATGGCCGAGAAGCTCATTACTCTCGCGAAAAGGAACAACGAGGAGACCAAGCGGAAGGTCCAGGCCATGCTCTACGTACGCCACACCCACCACCGCTGTCTGGATGGTACCATAGCAGGACGGAAATTTGACTGACAACGATCTCTAGACCCCCCACGACCTTCTCCCCAAGGTCTTTGGCGAGCTGCGCGAACGCTACGCCAAGCGCCCCGGAGGCTACACCCGTGTCCTCCGCACCGAGCCCCGAAATAGATACGACCAGGCTCCTTCCGCCATCCTCGAGCTCCTCGATGGGCCGCGTGATATCCGCTTCGCCATGACGGCCAAGGCTGTCGCCAGGGACATGAAGAATGGCAACGAATCTACCGAGCTTACCCTTAAGAACAAGCAGAAGGTGACGAGGTATCGCAAGGACGGCAATCAAGCCTTTGACGCCTTGGTGAAAAGGTTCAACGAGCATCCACCAACCAAGCAAATCAGACTGGGAAAACCTTACAAAAAGAAACGTGGACGCATCCCAGGATCCAGGAGAGCGAAAAAGGAAACAGTCAAGGCTGAGGGTTCGTCAGGACCTGACCTGGACTTGAGGCAGTGAAGGCATTGGTGCGGTAGGAAACGCATGCTGAGGCAATGCAGGGACAGACGTGGACGGCGGAGGTGCTCAGAAAACGGCCTGTAAACCTTTTTTTTTGGTGTATCATCAACGAAAAATACCTGGCCAGTCTATAGATTATGGTCGTGTGGGGTATACGTGTATACTATGACAAAACAACTTTTTCAAGCCTGCCAATTGAGCAGGCGCAACTTCCATCTCTCTCTTGTACCCTCTCCCGATTTACACAAAGTCAAAAGTATCACCCTTCTCCTGGATCATCTTGCCTACGCGCTGCGTGCCGACGATGCGCTCCAGCCTCATGACATCGTATTTGGAGAACATGGCCCTGATGGTACCCTGTCCAGGCTCGATCAGAAGGTTCTGCTCGCTGTGTGCAAGGTAACCTCCAGCGATCTCGCGGTAGAAAATCGGGTTGTCCGGCAGGCCGTACATGATTACCCGCTGGACGCCGCGCAGGTTGTACCGTCTGAAGTGGTGCGCACGCTCCGTATACAGGAGAACCTTGTGCCGGCCGGTTGTGAAGTGAGAGCGAGCGCGGGATACTTCGGGGACCTCCGAGTATTCGGAAATGGTGCCGAAGGAGAGAACCCCGACGGCGGCATTGGTGGCGAAGTAGTTCCTCACGCGGACAAAGTCGAGGTAGGAGGGGATAAAGATGAGGGTTCCGCTGGTGTCCTTGGCTCGCTTGATGAGGGAGGGGAGGATCGCCGAGACGAAGTAGTCGAAGCGGGCGTCGGGCTCCTTGTCGATAGACTTGGCCTCGAAGCGGGAGAAGGTCTGACGCGCCTTGAGGCCGAGCTGCTGGAGGACGCCGGAGTAGTCTGCCTGGAATCGAATCTTGCCGGCCCAGTTATGGCATTGGGTGCGGAAGAGCTCCGTCAACTCTGGCGTGTTGAAGGCGGAGAGGATGACGGTCTGTCGGAAGTACTTTGACCAGTCCTCGAGGTACCAACTGCGCACACGACTGAAGTCACACCCGTGGGCGTCCTTGGGCTGGAGGTTCATGTGCTCAAAGATATACTCGACGTGCTCCCAGTTCTGCATGAGCTGGGCGTCGGCCTGGTCGACCACAACCAACTCAATGGAACTCAAAAAGTCATAATCCATCTTCTTCTTGTCTTCCTCGGAGCCGATGGCCATCCGCAGACCCAAGGGACTGGCGAAAAGAATGTCCGAGTTGTAGAACTGGGAGAAGTACTTGATGGTCTTGCGGGTGAACTTCATGCCGATGCGAAACATGTCGTCGTCGTTGCCTTCAAATAGGTCGCGAAAATCTTCAGGCTTGTCGTTGCCAAACTTAACCTCTTCGTCGGTATAGGCTTCCTCGAAACGCTTTCTGTTTTCGCGCTGGTCGGGCGCGCAGAGCGCTTCGATGGTATTCACCATCTTCAAGCACGATTGTCGCGTTGGCAGAATAAAGAGGACCTTGGGACGTGTGAAACCCTGATCTCTCAGCTCCAGGTCGGCGTTTTCTTCCTTGGCCAGCTTGTAATTGTTCTTGATGACGCGGTCGCGAGTTCTACACAATGTTAGAGAAGCCCCTGAATTCTGTCGGTTTGTAAGAGGATCTTACTTGAAGACGTGGTTGACGGCATGTAAGCACACGAGCTGCCTCAAACCTTCCGAGTTCTTGATGTCGCGATCGTCATATAAAACGTCGTTGTAGTTGAAAAGAACCGGTGCCATTGCTTGCTGCAACGTGTTGAGTGGCGAGATCTTTTTCGACGCAGACTCTTTGAGCTTCTGCTTGAGCTTGAGGCTCTCCAAGCTTGAGATTGGCGATGGGATTGACGGCGCTTCTGAACCTTCAAACTGAGGATACGTGACGACAGCTTTAGACACCTTGGACATGCTTCGCTTGAAAGTCCAGCCATTCTTCTGAATCGCCTTGACCTTCTTCGTGTAGGTGTCTTCATCGGGGGTCGCAAAGTGGTTGTCAAATGGATCCGTCGCATCAACATCATCTTCGTCGTCGCTTTCCGCCTCCTCATCAGCGAGATCGGCTGAAGGGTCCTCTTCCTCGGCCTCATCAACCCTGTCGACGTCCTTCTCACCAGCCTCCTCATCTTCATCCTCGTCTTCAGAAGACTCCTCTGCTGCTGCTGTCGCCTTGGCGGCACTCTCAGGCTTGCCGCTGTCCAATTTTCTCCTCTTTGCACTCGGCTCTGTGGATTCTGTGAACCCTTGCAAGAGTGCCATGTAAGGACGGGAGTTCTGAGGTTGCTCATCCACATCTTCGTCCTCCTCATCATCAGACATGGAGACATCAGAGTCTTCCTCCACTTCGGAATCCATCTCCTCACCAGACTCAGAACCAGACGACCTGGTTTCATTAGTTTGTGAAAACTGACCCAGAAACAGACAAACTTACTCATTTTCTTCCAGGCGGGCAGTGTTGAAGCGAGATCGACCGGGGCCGCCTCCTCTACCTCTGCCTCTGCCGCCTCTTCCACCACGCCCGCGAGCACCACCTCTTCCTCCGCCCCTGAAGCCAGCACGGCCTCTGCCTCGAGCACCCATTGTCTTGAGACTTATTCACTTAAATAACCAAAACGAAGGTGAAAAGTGGGAAATGAGACAAACAGACACGCATTCACCTCGTCGCAAAAAAAAGTTGTAAGTCGGCCATGCTCAGCCTTGCAGAAATTCCGCACCAAAGTCACCAGCCACAGCGGGGCAATCCGACGCCTCGAAAAACTTCTTATCGGTGCTTATCTTAGCGCGCACAACCTAGTCCGAATCGCAAAATCCCGCCCGCCAAAGCGAAAGGGTACGCCCGCGCTGGTGCAGAGAGTTTCGAGAATTTTGAACGACCATTTTCCATCGCGAATAGGGACCCGAGACGAATCCACTTTGCCAGCAGTCAATTTTGGCCCGTCCACCACCGGCCAAACCCGCCCCTCCCTCCTCCTCCTGTCCTGCCTCCCCTTTCTCTCCCAAACGCAACAAACCTCTCTTACGTCGGCCAACTATTTCGACAACATACCTGCCCAGCATGGCTGTCGCCGAAACTGAGAAGTTCCTCCACCTCTCGCGGCCCATCGCGCCGGCGACGGTTGGCCTTCAGGGCACTATTGCCCCGCTCACCGTCAACATCCAACCCCAGGTACGAACACCTCGAACTCATGCGCTGCAGAACCTCCTCGTTTGCGCCTGAGCCACGCACTATGCAAATGTCATCATAGCTTTTGCATACAGCATATTCACCTCTTCAACCTTGGTCGTCGACCCCTCTTCTAGTTCACCCCAAGCTAACGCTGCCCCTCCCCCATAGGCCATCCTGTCCATTCTCGACCATGCCGTTCGAAGAGACATCCGCGATACGCAATCAACCCGCGTTATCGGCGCCCTCGTCGGTGTCCGCTCCGAAGATGGCACCGAGGTCGAAGTGCGCTCCTGCTTCGCCATCCCTCACACCGAGAATGAGGACCAGGTCGAGGTGGACGTCGACTACCAGAAGAACATGCTCGCCCTCACCCTCAAGGCCTCCCCGCGCGAGTCCCTGCTGGGTTGGTACACCACCACCCACGAGCTCAACTCCTTCTCCGCCCTGATCCAGAACTTCTTCGCCTCCCCGGACACCGGCACCTTCCCCCACCCCGCCGTCCACCTGACCATCAGCACCGACCCGACCGCCGAAATCGAGGCCCGCTGCTACATCTCCGCCCCCGTCGCCGTCAACGCCGAGCGCGCTGCCGAAAGCTGCCTCTTCATCCAGGTGCCCCACAAGCTCATGTACGGCGACGCCGAGCGCAGCGCCCTCGAGGCTATCTCCATGGCCAAGGACAACGAGGACCGCGTCGCCCCCGTCGTCTCCGACATCGAGGGCCTCGCCCGCTCCATCGAGCAGGGTACCAACCTGATCGAGCGCGTCAGCGAGTGGGTCAACGGCATCCTCGACGAGGACGAGGAGCCCAACCACGCCCTCGGCCAGTACCTCATGAACGCCCTGTCTCTCGCCCCCAAGGTCGACCCCTCCCAGATCGAGCACGACTTCAACAACCACATCCAGGACGTCCTCATGGTCTCCTACCTCGCCAACACCATCCGCACCCAGATCGACCTGTCGCAAAGGCTGGCGACGGCCAACCTCACCGGTGGCGAGAAGGATGGCGAGGGCAAGGCGGCCGAGGGCGGCGAGAAGGGCGAGCAGCGGGGTCAGCGTGGTGGCAAGCGTGGTGGACGTGGCGGCGGCCGTGGTGGTGGCCAGAACAGAGAGCCCAGAGAGCCTCGGGAGCCCCGCGAGCCGAGGGAACCCACGGAGTAAATGCAGCTTTAATTGTCGACCAACCAAAAAAAGGGGTTTGCACAGTACATTCTTTCTCATGGAAAATTCTGTGAGAAGATGGGGGGACATAAAACGGGGAGAAGGGAACCGTCGGAAGTTGAAAGAGCAAGTAAGCCAGCAGGCGGTGCTGATTATTTTTTTCATCCCGCCGCAAGGTAGCAAGCATGGCATCATGAGGAATTCCACACTTGAAAAACCGTCATGGCGTTATGGCAGTGGCAGGATAGACGGCCTAGGGTTAGAAAGCGCTAGGCAGTTGCAATGATGATATTCACGCTTTCATGCACAAGTTCAGCATAACACACATATTTCACATGACCTTTTGAGATAAAACCTGAGTGACAATTAAGTTGCGTAAAGTGCTCTAGCATGCAATAGCCTACATGATCTGATGCCATCCTGTCCTCCGTTTGAACGCCAATATGCTGTACCTTGTAAACCCCCAGACGCCAGTCGTTCTACCAGAGACCATCTACAGCGACGTCAAACGCGCACCTAAACGCCCATGTTCGGCTTTTGCGGCAAAGTAGCAGGGTTGCCGTAGTGCGGCAGGTGGCTGAACGTCTGTCCGGCCGGGCCCTGAGGGATGACGGGTTTGTTAGGGATGTGAGGAGACGGGTTTTGGGGGAGATGTTGAGAAGGATGCTGCGGCGGAATGTGAGGACCCGGTGCTTGGGGGATGGTGTTGAGATGGTGAGGGTGTTGTGATGGCGGGCCGTGGTAAGAGGGAATGGAGTTGTTTGACCCCTGTCTAGCCATACCATAACCTGCTACAACGCCGTACGGTGCAGGCGGGCCCGGTTGCTGGTATCCGGCATACGCCAGGTGAGGTGAGCCGATCTGGGGGCTGCCATGATGGGATCCAGGGGCGCTGAACGGGGGTTGAGGCGGCTGCATCGGAGCCATGCCGCCACCCGGGACAAATGATTGCGTCTTGGGGTTGAAGGCGTGACGGTTGTAGCTACCCGGAATGGGATGCTGGCTCTTAGGGTCATTGGGGTTGACATTGGCTGGCAGCTGCCCGTACATATAAGGCACAGTGCTCTGTCCAGGCGGAGCGGACATGCCCCGCGGGGTGTAGGATGCTGCATTAGGCCCGGATGGCGGCATCGCCGCTGGAGCCGGACCTGGCGCAAAGCCCTGCTGCCAGCCGGCTTGGGCGGGAGCAGGTCCAGGAGCAGGTCCACCATAACCCCGAGCAGCGGCGTTCGGAGGTGGCTGGAATGGAGGTTGGCTGGTCTGAGGAGAATACTAGCACTAAGTCAGAGAGGGATGGATTGCGAAGGTAGCAGAGCTCCTTACCTGGGCCATGTTAGGATACGTGTTATAACCTGAGTTGGGCATCATCGGAGCAAAAGATTGTGTCGGAGTGGTGTTGTAGGGAGGAGGCTGTATCTGATTCGAATAGGGTTGTTGAACCGGAGCCCCGTACTGATTGGACACAGGGACATATTGCGGCTGCGGCATCCAGGTCTGTTGCTGAGGACCCCAGTACGGGGTATAGTTGTGTCGTGAATCGAAGCTGTCCGAATCGTCACGTCTTTGCTTCCCAGTCTTGCCCCTCTTTCCAGCATTCGATTTGTCTCTCGCCGAGACGGAGCTGGCTCGTGAAATTCCATTTTCGCCCTCGTTGTCTGCAGTAGCTGTCAGCCGGAGGTGTCCACATTACCACATCTGTGACAACATACCAGGGGTTGACTCTCCGGTCTTCTCCGAGTTGCCAAAGATCCTCTCTCGGGCCTGCTTGTAGGCCTCCTCACGTTGTTCTCTCGACAGCCTGTTCTGGTCAGCAAAGAAAACTACTCAGCCAAGGGGCAATGACGCACTTTTGATTCCCAGCCGCATTCTTGTCCTTGGAATCACTTCCAGTTTCGGACGTGGGCTTCGATGGCGAGGCGCTGGCGGTTGCAAGCTCCCCATCCTCACCACGTCGCATGATCTTCATGGGGAGAACGGCAGGAGGCGGTGGCGTCTCAGCACTAGTTTCCGGAGCCGCAATACTAGCTAAAGACTCGGGAACTCTGGCGTACGGAGTTCTGAAGATTCGCACAGATCCAATTCGTGCTTCATATTGATGCGTCATTCGATAGTAATCAGCCAACTTGTGGGTTAACATTCTGCAGAATGAGTTGGATGGAGGAAAATCCATATAAGGTTCCCTGTATTTGTCAGTACGATGCTCCCTTACATCTGGCACCGGGACTTACTTGGAATTTTGAACAAACTTGATCAGTTCCGCCTCTAATCTAAGCAGAAAAAGTCGGTCCTTGGGAGACGCCATGGCTTCTAAAAGCTTTTCATCCGGTGCCTGCCCGTAGATCGTGTTCAAGAGATTGGCGGAGTCGGGTAAGTTGGCCGACAGCGCATTCGCAGAAGGCTGTTGCTGATCTGAGGACGCGCTCTGCGGCGTAATCATGCCCTGGCTCAATGATCCAGATACGGGTTGGGCAAGACGGCGGTCTGGCATGTCGCCGAGCTGGATGATGCCTCTAGCACGCGCGGCGATGTCTGACCCCATCCTAGAGTTGGGCAGGTTCGGTCCGCGAAACGAGAAGGCGTCATCGTCTTCGGCAGCAGCAGCTTTCACGCTGGCACTGTCATCAGGACGCAGAGATTCCTTCTCATCAAGCGCAAAGGTAGTTCCTGAAGTAATGCTCTTCCCGTCTAAACTAGCAGGCTTCGTTCCAAGCTCGGAGCTTGAATCCGCTCTCTGAGAATCATCCGATCCATCCTTAGTTGCGGATTTTGATCTCTCGGTGAACGTTGAGCCCGTTCCGTTAACGACAAGACTGGGAGTTCGTCCAATGTTCAAATCCTTCAGTCCATCGACGACGGGGTCGCTTGAGTCGGGCTTCTTGGGCGGAGATGGCTCGCGCTGAGTGGCCGTCGATGCGGTTTTCGTAGAGCCCATGGCGGCAGATGGATGGTTATCGGCGCCGTTTGCAACAACAGGTGTGGGGGCGCCGGTCAGCGTAGGCTGTTCAGGGCGTTCTTGGGATGGCGCGGCGACTCGTCGCACGGTAGTGACAGGAGGATAATCTTTCGATGCCGAAGCAGCGACCTGAGAAAAGTGATCGTTAGCACGCGGCGCAAGGTAGGAGCTCATAGCCTCGGGACGAACGATAGACCGGGGAGGTATGCACCTTTGCGAAAGATGGTTTGGGTATGTCCGTTGGCATTTGGGCGGTAGCCATAGCTCGAGTCGATGGCTAGGAGTTCGTAGGGCGTTGGATAATAGGATGGAAGTGAAGGTCGTCGTCTGATGGGTATAGTTGCGCTGGAAGACAGCAGCGCGCGGGGGGGACGAATTGAATTTCGGCTCAAGAACGATTAAAGACGGTATCCGAAATCAAGGAACAAAATGTATCAAGGCGGGCCTGCAGAGCGAGAAAGAAGTTCCGTGGATCATTGTCGGGAGAGGGCTGTCATCGTTGCTTTCGTATTTTCCGTCAAGGTGTTGATGTTTGATGGCGCCGGTACTCTTGTTCGTTGGAGAAACTGGCTGGTTGATGATGTCCGACGATGCCTCGACTTGGTCTGCGCCTGGCGGCTATCTGTTAGCGGCTGTAGCCAGAGCTTGTTCGCAGCAAGACGGCGGTAGGGCGCACGGCAGATTTGGCGAGGCGGCCAGAATTTCGGCGAGCTGCGAGGCGGATAGACCGTCACAAGCAGGCGTCAAAGGAGGGGGTGGTGGTGTGGGTGGTGTGGTGTGGGCGACGTTGGTGGGAGGAATTGGGAAGAGAGCTGTGTGGGTTTTTGGATTGCGCTGGAAGGGGAAAACAGGATGGGGAAACTGGAGAAGGCGGAAAGGAAGCGACACTTTCGCACCTTACCTCACTCACTCACCCACAGAGGCTCGCCAGCTGTCTTGCTTGCTTCAAGCAATGGATGAACAGACAGGGGGCTATAAAGTCTGGAAGACAACAAGAAGGTTCTTCCTGCTTTTCAATTCCGGGTCCTCTTCCGCTCTCCTGTTCTCTCACTGAGACCTTGAGTCGCTTAAAGTGCTCTGTCTCGCGTTGCTTCTTGAGCCGTGGGTCTGTTCGATCGCTCCCCTCGGTCGAAGAGCCGGAGTTGAGGAACAAGAAGCTTAAATGCCGACAGGTCCTTGACGTGCGGATAGTGGTCTCAAGTCGGTACAGATGGTGTCAGACAACTGCCATCCCCCTCCGCAACGTCTTGTGGGACGTCAGGCTGAAGAATGAGGTATGGTCACAGATATTCTGGTGAGGACTGAAGAGGTCTCGGGCCTGAATTGGCTGGCGAAAGACAAAAAGGCCACAGCCTGAGCCAAAAGTGGCTTAGTCCCGGCAGATTCCTAACTCTGGAGTGTGGCTGGTGCACTGCTGGTGCACTCCACTGCGAAAAGGAGGCTGGAAGACCCAAGCCAAGCGAAGCGCGGTCACTTTTCCGTCACTGGCTGCTTTAGCGATGCCAGCTGGCACACTTACGTAAGGCGTGCCGTAATTCAGGGTCCACGAGCAGTCCAGCACTGCTGTCACCTGTGGATGTGACGTCTCCTTCTGCTGTTCGCGCCTGCCCAAGCCTCTTTCGGTCGTGAAATAATCGATGCCCCGGGCCCGTACACTCACTGGCTTGCAGGTCTCAGCTCCGTCGGAAAGAGTTCACACTCATCCGCAATCACATCCTTAGCCACAACGACGCTTTTACACCCAAGGCTTAGACTCACAGCAACTGGGCGAAACGAAACATTGTCCGACGCAAACCCACCTGCGACACTGCAGATCTAAGCCCTGAAATAGACGACAACCGAGACTGACTGACTGGTGCGGGACGCCAGAACATCAATAATCGACGTCTACCAGCGGAATCCACTATCATCGCCAATGCATTCCTATAGAGGACGTGGCGGCCCTCGCCAGCAAACACCGGCCAACGTCCAGTGTCAAAAGTGTCTGAAGAGAGATATGTACAGTACTGCCAGCGGCATCGCGAACTTACGCTGACTTTCGCAGAAC